CCTGCCTTCTGTATGCAGTGTGTCAGGCTCCATTAATATTTTGGCATTTTAATGATTGCTTGAACGTTTTATAAAGTTAGAACCTTTCTTGACTGTCCTTGATGAAGTTTTTGGCGTACATTTCCATTACAAATATAGTTTTTTAGTTGACACGCTCTGATTTTCAAATCATGTTCATTTTGAGGACAATGGCACAAGTCCATCAAGTTTAGTATTTCTTTTGTGGTGAGAATTCACCATTCAATCGCTTCATTATAGCTCCTTCCATATTCATCCTCCTTTTGTATTTTAATGAGTTTTTCATTTTCAAATTTTAAGTCATGTTTATGCCAATTTTGGCAGTGGCGGAAGACAGATGAAGACTCAAGTGCACATCGCTCATCTGTATCTGAGTTTGGAGATGACAATTTTGCTGTTGGTAATTGGGAACAGAAAGGAATTATGAGCCGAGATGGACATCTGAAGCTCCATACCCAGGTGTTCTTTGCTTCTATTGACCAGCGAAGTGAGCGGGCAGCTGGAGAGAGTGCATGCACTGCCCTTGTTGCTGTAATTGCTGATTGGTTGCAAAATAATCATGATCATATGCCGATTAAATCACAGTTTGATAGTTTAATCAGGGAAGGATCTCTAGAATGGAGGAACCTTTGTGACAATGAGATTTACAGAGAGCGATTTCCTGACAAGCACTTTGATCTTGAGACTATCCTCCATGCAAAAATTGGTTCTCTTTCTGTAATTCCTGGAAAGTCATTTATTGGATTTTTTCATCCAGATGGGATGGATGAGGGAAGATTTGATTTTCTTCATGGTGCCATGTCATTTGACAATATCTGGGATGAAATCAGCCGTGTTGCTTTAGAATGTCCAGGTGACAGTGAACCTCAGGTCTACATTGTCAGTTGGAATGATCATTTCTTTGTGCTTAAGGTTGAAGCTGAAGCTTACTACATCATCGACACCCTAGGAGAGAGACTCTATGAAGGATGTAACCAGGCTTACATACTGAAGTTTGACAGGAACACAACCATCTACAAGTTGCCAAATACCGCTCAATCATCCCAAGAAAAAACTGTTGGTGATCTGCCAGTTGTTGCAGCAGCAGAACCAAAGAATGCAGATTCTCAGCAGGTAAGCTCAAAAGAAGGTTCGACAGAAGATTCTGAACCAATGAAGAGTGAAGAGGAGGAAGAACTGGTCATATGTCGAGGCAAAGAGTCGTGCAAGGAGTACATAAAGAGCTTCTTGGCTGCTATTCCTATTAGGGAACTGCAGGCAGATATCAAGAAAGGTTTGATAAAATCAACGCCCCTACATCATCGATTACAGATTGAATTTCACTTCACTGACCTACAGTTACCAGCCCCTGTAAGTCCACCAGTAGAAGAAGTCGCTTCAATTGTGCAACAAGTAATTGAAGTTGCCTAAAAGACGTTTGCTGCATAGTGACTTCAATGTAAATGCATAGACAAGCATGTTAGTCCTAACTTTGCCTTTTTCTTTTCCCTTAGTCTTGAGGTGAATGGGTTAAAAGAGTGCCCATTTGATCTTTTTTTTGGGTTGCGCTTGTAACTGAGTATAGTATGTTGCGATGCTGTTTTCCAGCTGATGCGTCCGTGTCGTTCTGGTCTCTCTGTAGTCTGTCTTTAATCTTACCTAGTTACCTTCTCTCAAACGGATACTTTTGTAAATGACTTTGTTTAATTTCGACTTTGTTTAATTTCTGCAAGTGTTCTATAATGTTGCCAACTTATTATTGTCTTATTTCCTTCTTCTCCATGGTTATTTTATTGGGATCATTAATAATAGGATTAGATGCCGAGACCCCGCAATCAATGGGTAGGCGTACTTCCTAATCTTAGCTGAGCTGGTGGCGGTGTCATCCGATTTTTCATTTGTTTTTGACTCGAGGATTATTTTCTGGCTGGATCGTGGGGGCAGCGAATGTAGATGGCCCAGAAGAAGAAGAAGAATCCGACCGCCGGATTGCATGTTCGTGTGATGGTGACATTTTTTTTCGCTAATTTTGGTCTTCTCTGGGCTCAGCAACCAAGCAACCAGTCTGCCCAAGAAAAGATGTTTGGCCAAACTATCGTGGCTGTTTACAGCAATCTTGTTTCAGAGCCACTAACTTGGGTCCAAATGAGGTTATCTCTCGGCATGCATGCAATGGATACTCGATACTATTCCACACCCACCGGTCTGAACTAACACCGCTTGCTTAGCATATTCTTCTGTAGGTCCAGATCAAAAACAGTAAACTATGTGGTGGTTGTTGACACGAAATTGTCTGATATGATTAGCAGCACTTGATATAGTCGCAAATCGTTACCAGAACATACTAAACTTCGGCACAGAGTATGTCGACTGATTCAAGCATAATACAGAATACGAATAGGGGTGTTCTAATTGCAGATATTAAATCTAGCCTCATAAAAAGCTGAATCACGAGCCAAAGTCACTATCCTACTATAATTGGCATTTCGTGACGAGTAAAGAGAAGAAAGAAGAACCAAATAGTTCTGACGAATTATGGAGGTTCTTCAACTTTTTGAGACCAATTGGAGGATGCTTCGAAAGCATTCTCCCTTTTTTTTTTTTAGCAAAAAGTGAGCCGAGATCAATCAATCGAGATCTTTGATGATTTGATGCAGTAAGCTTTCAAGCTTTGCTTCCAAAGCCCCTACTTTCTGGTGCAACCCTTTTTGACCGAGTGCTTTAGGTGCGCTACTAAATGATACTCATCATTAGACCTGGCAATTATGTCCAAAATCCAACAACACACCCAATTCATCCACTAATTTGAGAGGTTGGTTTGAGTAATTTGGGTATTGGGTCAATTTTGGATTGGATAATAAAAACTCAAATATATTTTGGGCGGTTTGGATATTTGTGTTGGGCGGCACTCATTACCCAACTTAAATTTAAAAAATAAATAAAGAAATTAAATTCAAGAAATACGACTCTTGTTTCCGACGACTTCAACGATAACTTTTGTTCTTTTGCTTGAATAAATCATCACCACCTCCTCCTTTGCCACCTCTACTCTTGAGCAAATTCACATCTTTCCTTCAATTTATATTTAACCACGCTTGGTGTTTGATATATTGCTCCAGTGGGCCATTGTTTTTCAAAGTCTCTTATCGATGATATAGCTAGTTTAAGATTTCAGAAAATCATGCCACTAACAAATATTGTTTTAGAAAATCATGGAAAATATCGGCCACCACCGCCAAAAAGCATATCAGAAATGCAATTGTAATATAGAAACCTATCCAGATCAGCGGTTGAGCATATTGTGCTAGATCTTGTAAACTCCGTTGGCATGCTTCATATTGTTTTTGGACAACTTCACAAATTGTGCTTTCATTAAAACTTTTCAAACGAATTGAATAGTAATATTTGAACTAATTGATTGAGAATTGTATCCCTCTCATCAAAATTTCAGTTTAATTTAGGCGTGATTGTGGAAGTATGTTGGTGTGTATTTTAGCGTATAAAAATAATGTATTTCTAAAGAATTTAAAAAGTGAGTGTGTGTTTGTATATGTGAAAGTATTTTAGTGTGTGAAAATGTGTGTGAATTTTTTTTCTATATAAAAATGTATTTGAGATAATTTATGTATCAAAATCTATTGATTAATATATTGGGTCATATTTAGGTCATGGGTTTGAGATGACCCAACCTAAAATTAGCGCAATCTAAAATTGAACGGGTTAAGTATAACCCATTTAACTGAAAATTCAATATTAACCCGCCTAAAACACGTTCAACCCACACAATTGTCAGGTATACTCATCGTCATCTCATCGTTTCTCCAAAGAATTTTATTACGAGGATATGGATCTCCATGCGATCGATTAAAATTCTGTCACCACTCGACACTTGTTCGCAGAGAATTACACTTGTGTGCAGCACATGGGCCTGGAGGGTAGTGCTTCAGAACTGTCCCTTGACCGGAAGAGGAGTCAAGGGACAGGGTACCGAAAACTTGTAGTATGTTGTTTTACTGCTTGCTTAGAACCCTAGGCCCTATAGTAGGGATGAGTTGCACTTGCATTCCCAAACTTGTCTATGCTTTGGATCAGGCCAATCTTGTTACTGGCTGGGTCATGCGTCTCTCAATCTTCGCATGCCCAAAATTAAACTGACTGCTATTTTGTTTCTTGAATCATTGTCCAGTTAGTTATGCCGGTGATGCATATCTCATAATGTAACAGATAATGTAAATTAACTCTGGGGCAAATGCAAATTTGAATTTGTTCACTCATAGAATTAAATTAGTATAAAAAATTACAATTAAAACAAAGTTATATGAATTTATGTTAAAAATTAAATTATAACAATGACGTCAATTAACAGAAACACAACTGTTTTAAGTGTTACCCCGTTTGCCGTAAAAAGCCGAAAAGGAACGTAAAGTGATAAATCAATAACTAGCAACTTTTTTCGCTCTTTGACCTGAATAAAGGAAAAGTGAAGTTGAATGGTGAGTAATCTTTTTTCTACCTTTGAACATTTGTCGCCAGCATGCATACTTTACAATGCTACCTAAATAGGTTTGTTTTCTTGAAGTTCGTTAGCACATCGTTATTGCCTTCCTCTTTTTTATTTATTTCTTTATTTATTTATTTTTTTGGGGCGAGAAGAGTGAGGAGTGCTGGCTGTGATTGCATTCCAGCCTACTCTATCTCAAATCCGAGTGCCCAGCTGAAAAAGTCTGAAGAAAGTTTTGATTAAACCATGCAAAAATGATTTGCTCGGTCATGCAAGAAAGGACCATGAATATAGGGCGGCTTCCATAACCGGTTGACAAAGCAAAGAGCTTTCTTTGCCTTTGAATCTGATCCTAAAGATAATTTAGTAGTTGTGAAGCCAATGGTTTCAGTTTCATTAACATCAGGCAGATTTGAAATGGTCAGTAGTATATATCTCTTGAGTCCAACATTTTACCCGCAACAATAATAGAAGAAGTAATGATCAAGTACCTCGCATGGATATGGATCATGAAGAACACAATAATGATGCTACTCAAGTTAATATCGTATTTTACAACATCACTCAAAGAGTCGCATGCTTGGATGTTGGTGTACAATTGGATAGCGTAGCAACAACAGCAATAGTTGCAGGGTATATTAGTCAAAACCGCATTTCTGATGCGTGGCAAGTGCTTAACAATATGTTGGAGAAAGGGGTCAGACTGACTAAAAGGTCTTACTCAATATTCATCAAGGAGCTTTGTAAAGTTTCTGCAACAGATGAGATTGTCAATATGTTGATCCAGATGCAGGCTTCACAGGTTAAAATAGGAAATGATATCTTTCAGTTTGTTATACTTTATATGATGAAAAAGGGAGAGATGGATAAGGTAAAAAATATAAAGCAGATGCAGAAAAGCTGCAACATTTTTTCCAAAGAAGAGGACTCACCTACTGCTGATATAGCGATTCAACCAGAATCAAATGCAAGTTAAATTTCAAACAACTAGAGCAACAATGTTTAGATTGTAATGTGGTGGAGTCAACATCAAGTTCCTGTAACCAAGATGATTTGCATGAAGTTAACCGAATCTTGTCATCCTCAAAGGATTGGTGGTCTCTTCAAGACAAATTGGAGAAACGTGCTATACAGTTCACCCCAGAACTTGTGGTGGATACTTTGCGAAAGTGCAGCTTGCATGGTGGTGCCGCACTACGATTTTTCTCATGGGTTGCAAAGCAAAGTGGTTATAGACACAATACTGAGGCCTACAACATGGCTATTAAACTCTCAGGACAAGTAAAGGATTTTAAACACATGAGAAGTCTCTTCCACGAAATGAGGAGAAATGGCTGCTCAATAACATCTGATACATGGACAATCATGATAATGCAATATGGTCGAGTGGGCCTCACAAACATTGCCCTCACTACTTTCAGAGAGATGAAAGCTAGTAGCTGTAATCCTAATGCAAGTACGTACAAGTTCTTGATAATATCTCTTTGTGGTGAAAAGGGTAGGAATGTTGATGAAGCAATCTTAATCTATCAAGAGATGATTAAAGCAGGGTTTCAACCTGATAAAGAATTACTAGAATCTTACCTTGGTTGTTTGTGTCAAGTTGGTAAACTGTTGGAGGCAAGGAGGTGTGTCGAATCTCTTCGAAAAGTTGGTTTTACAGTTAGTTTGACCAGATCGCTGTATATAAGGGCCCTTTGTCGTGGAGGAAGGCTGGAAGAGGCTTTAGAGTTAATTGATGAATCTGGTAGCGAGAAGCATACTCTAGAACAGTACACGTGTGGTAGCCTAGTAAACGGACTACTACGAAGAGGACGAGTTGAAGAGGCAATGTCAAGGGTGGAATCGATGAAGCAGGTTGGCATCCACCCTACTGTCCATGTTTATACATCACTAATGGTCCAGTTCTTTAGGCAGAAGCAGGTATCTAAAGCTCTAGAAACCTTTAAGGAGATGAAAGAGATGGGATGCCAACCAACAACTGTTACATATTCTGCAATTGTACGTGGATATATGGAGATGGGAAAGATTACAGATGCCTGGGAGATTTTCCGTCATATGAAGCAAAATGGACCATTCCCTGATTTCAAGGCTTACTCAATGTTCATTGCTTGTCTTTGCAGAGCAGGTAGGTCTGAAGAAGCTCTTCCACTTTTTGATGACATGTTGGATGCTGGGATAATCCCTAGTACGATAAATTTTCGAGCGGTTCTCTTTGGGCTGAACAGAGAAGGCAAACACGATTTGGCCCAAATTGTACTGCGGAAAAAGTTGGATCTTAAACGTCGAAGAAAATCTTTTATCGTTTGGTAAAAAAAAAAAAAAAAATGTCGAAGAAGACTGTCGTCGTAGGTTGACATATGTTGTTCCTTTTTTTTTTTTTTGGTTGGCGGTTCCTTATTTGTCCAGCCCTTTTTTTTTTCCAATTTAAAAAACAAGCCGAAAAAAAAAAAATCGGGTATAAAAGGGTAACATGACGCTACTTCCTTTCATTTAAGTCACTTCGCATATGTTCCTTAGTAATACAATATTAATTGGACAATTGTGAAGATTAAAATTGTCCCTGATTGTTTTCGACGACAGGCTTCACCAAATTTCGTCTTTTGTTGTTAAAAGAGCAAAGCTTAAGAGATTTATTCTGCCAATCCAGTTTAGTCCACCAGGAATATAATGTACAAAGCCTTTTCTTACTACAATCTGGAAGCAACTCTTAGTGACATGTCGTTCATCTATGACACAATCAGGCAATAAGGTTTATACAGCAGCAGCAGCAGAAAGCTGGCGGTCGTCAAGTCCCAGACTAATAGATAAATGTGGTCTCTTCACAAAATTTGATCACACAAGCCACTCGATTGTGTTTCTGGCCACCAAGTCATTTGGTTGAGCGTTTAGTCGAAGCATCACCGCAGTAATGACACCTGCAAACACAAGGACAGAGAAGCAGAAATTTGAGGAAAAAAGAATGCATGCAAAGATCCTTCTGAAATGAATAAACGCGACAAGTGAACCAGAGATTGACATAAGAGTAGCAAATACTGAACTCACAAAGACACTACAAAAATACATCTGACCCAATAAAAAGGCACTCCTACACCACCCCCAACCCTCCCCCCAACCCAAAACCGGAAAAAAAAAAAATTAAGACAACAACTACAACACACATAGCACAAACAAAAATACAGGGAAAAAAAGATCCACCGGGAAAATACTAAATAAGGAGACTTCTTAAGCACAAACTTACTGTAATTGTTGATTATAATATGAAGCATGAAATTTAAACTTACCTTCTAGAAAAGTATACTCCTTTCTTGCATCAGGGATATCAGAAATTCTTGGTCTGGTCTAGTATGACTGAGTACCTTTGCAAAAACATGACTATCTTGACATAGCTACTCATATTGAAATTAAAAAGAAAAAAAAATAATCACAGTTTGTCATATATTCCTAAATTTCAAAGTTGGCAGGAAACACCAAAGCAATTCAGAAGACCAAAGAGCTGTATGCCTGTGTTAGAGCTTCTTAATGATCTCCTCATTTGCCCGCTTGTAGTATGTCATTCTCTGGATTGAAGATATCGCTTCTTCATACTTTCTACTCTGAAATGCATCTGCGAAGGACTTAGACCAATGTTCCAGTTTTTTCCATATCTGCATAGATAGAAACATAGATTGCACAAGTCAAAGGTCGAGATGTCAATAGCACTTAGATCTGCACTTCTGCCTTGATAAAAATCATCAATGATACCGATATCTATTTGGTGTTGGTTTACCTTTTATGGAGGCACTTTTATATCTTTTCACATGATAAACTACTCAAAGCCTATCCTAGAACATGAGAAAACGTATGCAACCATTCAAAGAACGATCTTTCTACCTCCCTCTATTTCATGCACTACATAAGAGTTCATTCCATATTAGAAGTTTCTTGGCATGGATTATGAAGGTAATCGGACAAGATTTTAAGGTTTACTTTGAAAACCTTATTTAAGGGGATAATATTGGTTAATTTGGTTCTAAATTCAAATTTGAGCTCAAGAATTAACTGTTTTTCCTTGACTTCTTCTTCTAGGAACCTAAACTGATTTTAGTTTCTAGGACACTGTGAAAATGCGTATTTTCCCTTTTTTATAATTCAATGCTCTTTGCTGGAGGCCCAACATGAGTTTCCTGCACAAGATCACCAAATTACAAAACCCAGTTCATACCTGTGCCTGAATGTGATTTAATGCCTGTGTCTCTGCTGCTTCTTCAACAGCTTCTCTAATTTCCATGATCTGCAGTTTAAGCTGATTGTCACTTACGATATCACAAACTTAATGAATTTCAGGCCTTTCCCACTTTATGCAGGCGATTGGTTCACTTATAAACTTTATCAGATAAGCATGCTTATCTTGAAAAAGAATGACAACAATTTTTAGAATCTTCCATAAAAAATTTTACTTTATCTACACGAATCATGAAAAGGGTTAGTACAGTTCGAGCTATGTGCATTATTCTCTGTTTAATCTCATGCAATGAGATTCAATATACAAATTGCTGTAAAATGAAATGCGTTTCAAAATCTATTTTTAGCAAGATTCATCAGTTGAGAATGTCAATCACTAATTCTTCGAGAGGAAGCAGTGACACATTGGTTTAAGTAGTCTAGGAAAGCTCAATCTGCCAAAATATCAAGGCAGTCTCAAGATATCATATGAGTTAGCAGGATTCTAACTATCCATTAATGCAACTTAACCTTAACTTTATAATGGAACTTTTGTAAAGCCTCACATCATTCTATATGCATTTGAAGCTAATTGTAACCTATGCAATGTCTAGGTAATTGGAGAAACAGGCAAACAAAGCAAAAAACATGTTAAATACAAGAATTATTACGTTTAAGAGAGATTACCTCAGCAAGTAACTCAGGGTCTGAAATCCTGCCCTCTTCGTCCACCTCCAGACCTTCAAGCTTCAGCTACAAAGTTGGGAAAGAAATTGAAAAGCAATCACAATGATACTAGTAGTATACAACAAATAGTAGTGCGATGTCAGTGCAGAGACATGTATGGCTAACAATGTGGGAATCTTTTATTAACATAGTCAAAAAATAAAACACACAACTGTTGTATTAAAAATTAAAACATCAACAGGTTTTCATGCCTTATTACAACAAATGCTGAACCTTTATGTTTACATACTTAAACAATTATACAATCCAACAGTAGTAGTACAACATATTAGCACATACTAAGAAGGAAACCTCTTGAACATATTCAACCTTTTGATGTTCCTTTTGAAGGTCCATTTCCCTGTATCATTTGGTTAACCAGGAGAGGCAAAGCTTCTTAACTTACCATTTGTTGTGTAGTTATGACACCAAAGTGATAAGCTAGCCTCATCTAACTGATTTTCAGCCATCAAAAGGACTTGTGCTAGTTTGATGCATTATCAATCATTAAACTTGCTAGTTTGAGCCACTAAAATTGTAGAAGGTGAAAGACTATTGTGAGCAATTTCCATGAATTTGGGTAATTCATAATCAGAAATTTGTGTAAAGGACGCACTATTCTTTGCTTCTACAATGACACTCTTTCACAAGAAAGCAATAAAACCTGCAAAAAGTCTCAGAAGAAGAGCTATTTCTATCATCAAAAAATATTGAAACAGTTCATAGTGCATCGTCTAAAAACATAACCTACAAGGTACACAGCTCTTGACAATGTGTCGCTGAGGGTCCGATAAGCATCAGTCACCCGCGCAGATTGTTCAGCAGCCAAAGTCCCGTTCTTTCTAACAGAGACAGTAACAAAAAACCAATTAATATGAGAGGAAAAAACTCGACAGTAAGCATATGAATATAAAACTAAAAGGGACTGAAGCAAAATATTTGTGTTTGGATTGTAAGTTATTTGTCCAAATATATTTGCTTATGTCACCATTACAATTTCCAATACAATTTTTTATCTTTCCAATTACCTTTTTATCTCACATCCATCACGTCACAAAAAATATTACAGGAAAAATATCTCAAATAACTTACAATCCAAACACACATATAGTTTCCCAAGGAAGAACCTTGGATTTGGTGTGAACAAGATCAGGATGCAGCTTCTTCTGCCAATCTTTGTACTTGCCCTCCAAATTTTCGACCTTGACATCGTATTTCTTCTCCCTAGAAATTATTGGACAGGAAATTTAGTGACGCTTTAGAGATAGAATCGTTCTAGAATAAAACTGGAGGATGTCTAGCACGGAACGTCTCATTCATATGGGAAAATAATAGGGAACTAAAAAAAACATCACAAGCACCCCGAATACGCAAGAAAATTAGGGCTGTAAATTAAGTTTTAAAAGAGAGGCGATAAAAAACTCACACTCCTAAAATCTGGAAGTAATCAATGGAAGGATCAGGAGGTTGGACGCTGCGACAACCGTGACAAACCAAAAACGGCACCGCACTGGATGCAACAGCATTACAATTCCAGCACTTTGAATTGGCCGCAGGAGAACTTGCAATCGAGCAGAAGAAACCGGAGTTTAGACCGTGGAGCCCTGAATGGAGTCTCGGGGTTTGGAAAACTCTAGAAGACGGAGGAGAATGAAAAGAATAACAATAATTTCCTTCTATTTGGAATTGGGAGGAGATAACAGAAGAGAGGAAAATTGCGAGAGGGAACTTCGTTTGGAAGTGATTTCGGAAGAAAAGGGGTCGGCGGTGGTGGCGGAAGGATAAGGTACTGAAGCGCTGCCGCGGTGGAGGAGGTTGGTCGAGAGTGGAGTTAGAGAATGGAGCTTCTTCCACATTTTGCACTTCTAATCTACACCCAAAAATAGAAAAAGAAGTGATGACAGAGAGAGTAAGTTGTTATGTGTATTTACTGTTTGCGCTGGGCAAGGGCAGTAGAGTAGGGGAAGAAACTTCCTACTCTTGTGATAGGATTCCTCGTGGTTATATTTCACGGCTTCAGTAATTCACAGGACTAGTTTAAATACCCGTGCTACGTGCGGTGCTGATATTATTAAAAAATTAAAAAAGATAAATTAAAAAAAATTAAAAAATTGTACCAACATAATTAAAATATAATATTTGTGTAACAATAGTTTGAAATATGATAAAATGTGTATATTATTCAAAAATTACTTTTTTCGAAAGATAGATCTTGAAAAAATAATAGAAATTTATATTAAAAAATGAATGATATATAAATAAAAATGAATGTAATTAAATGTTGTTAAAATAAATATTTACAAATATTATGCATTCGATTTGATAATCTTGCATGAAGGTGCGAACACTCTTCCCAACAATCAACTTTTAGTATGAAAGCCAAAATTGGTTAT